CCATGGCCTTTTCCCATTTCCATACATGGCCTTTCCAGATTTTCATCTTTTGGCTTTTTCTTTGAAAGCTTTTGAATTTTCTGATAACCAATACAATGTTGTGAGTTATTTGTTAAGGGAAAAGTTTATTCTTTTATATATATGTATATATTGCAGAGATTATACAGTGATATATTTATTCCATTTTTTTAAAATATACAAATTAGCCCAATATATTAAAATTAAATGCCCATTTTGCCAATCTGTTTTTTTCTTTCGTCTGTGGAAAATGCATGCCTTGTGCTCACAGTGAAAAGTTACCATAAGCTTTTTTAGTGGTTTGAAAATCTCACGGTTAAATTGTCATGTTTCATATACAAGGTCAATTTTTATAATAATTTTGTAAAATTATAATCATATTACAGCATTTAAATGACCGGATTGAAAATGAGGTATTAATTTGTCTTTTTTTTTGTTGTTGCATATTTACAATTTATTGTAAGATTTTTTATCCATACCTCTAAGCTTTAAATGAGAGTTTATTAGAAATGGTAGCGCATTTTAAGGTAGTTTTTGTTCATTGAGATTTTCACACATTAATCTTTGTGGTAATGAAACCCTAAGCCAGTGACATTTATCTGTGTGCAAATTATTAATAATGTGATTAATTCAATGAATGAAAATGAGCAGAATTTGATCAGCTGCTATTGTCAGGATTTTCTACAAATAAATTAACTAATGTTTCAGTTACCAGATTTCTTTCTAAGTCAGGGTTCTCTGAGCTTGTACTTAACTCACTAGGATGTATTAGTCTTGGTCTTTGTCTTAGACTACATCTCTGTCTCGGATTTCATCATGGATTTAGTCTTAGTTCCTATGCCGACAGTGGTGCATTATTCAACAATAAAAAGGATATTATATAAATAGTGGAACATGATATGTTTAGATAAATAGTTGAACATATGTTTAGATAAATAGTTGAAAATTATATGTTTAGATAAATAGTTGAACATGGTATGTTTAGATAAACTGTTGAACATGATATGTTTAGATAAACAGTTGAACATATGTTTAGATCAATAAGAAAAAATTAAAAATGTCAATCAAAGTTACAAAGAATTCTCGGCTAAGCATTAATATTAGCCAAAATATTTGGGATACGTTAAATCCACTCCCCCAACCCCCCACCTCCTATATTTTCACATTAGTAGGTCACCGCTCATCTTTGAAAAGTAATATTCTTCTATCCATAGTTTAAGAGACCCCCTGATTTCATGTACCAGTTTACATCATTGGAAGTAACAACTCGCTCTTCCTCAAAGATAATTTTAATGTTTCATCACACTTTGCGACCGGTTCCACTTATAGAATATAACTCACTTGCGTATACAATATACTCACAGTGGCAGGCATTTTGTTTGCTGCTGTTGATGTCTAAGCCAAGCAATGCCTGTTGATGTCAATATGTCTTTTCTGCTGATTCAGTTGACATCGTATTTTCATCTTTTGAATAGAACAATAATCATTGTCTGCGATATATGTAAAATGTTTTATATATATATTTCTATTTGTGATTCCCAAACCGGCACTGAGTTAAGGGAGATTTTTGGGAAAATACATAAGGCTCCTGGGTGTCAGTGGTTCTTATGTCAGGGCTCCTGGGTGTCAGTGGTTCTCATGTCAGGCCTCCAGGGTGTCAGTGGTTCTCATGTCAGGTCTCCTGAGTGTCAGTGTTTCTATTGTTAGGTCTCCTGGGTGTCAGTGGTTCTCATCTCAGGCCTCCAGGGTGTCACTAGTTCTCATGTCAGGCCTCCAGGGTGTCACTAGTTCTCATGTCAGATCTCCAGGGTGTCACTGGTTATCAGAATGTCAGGATATGAGGACCACACTGTTTTTACTTATTGGAATTTGTTAAGACAAAAGATTTTTATATTACTTGTGCAATCAAATTGTGAGGAAGGAGAATAGATCAGTTTCTGAAAATGTAACAAATGTCAGCATGGATGGTATTAAGGTTTTGTTAAAACGAGATATTTGTAGATAGATTAAAATAAGAGGAAAGATTCATCAAAATAATTCAGTTAAATTGTAAAAATTAATTAAAATTGTAAAAATTCATTAAAATTTTGTGTAAACTTTAATTTCAAAACCAATTTAGTTTAATTTAAATTCCAAGTTTTGAAGATGTACATTATGGTTGTTTATCATCGCCATTCATGGAACATTGTGTTTTTAATGACATCAAACTGACTTTATGAAGCACATGACATTTCTCACCTAATATCGTCTTGTCAGTGTCATGTCATTGAATGTTGTCATGTCAGTTTGTGTTATACAATGTCACCTCAATATGTTTTTTTTTTAATGCCAAGTATTTCCTTCTTTGTAGCTACAAACAGTCGTTTGCATGTATTTAAACAAAGTGTTTAAATGTCTCAGGATAGGTTTAACATTCCTTTGATTTTGATTTGATTTTTTTTTTTTTGCAATAATTTTTAAAAAGTAAACCATGAGAAATAACTACTTGTAATTGTAAGTGTTTTATAGTGGAAGCTTTTGAACATTTCCATAAAATTGAGTCTTTATTGACCAGCATGGAAATGTGAATTAATGTCCTAATAAATTGTTCTGGTTCCTCTGTAAAAGACACAGCTTTTCATGATCCATTCTTTACACTTACTCTTTCATAATTTATCAGGACTGTAGCAGCACCTACAGTTCTAAATAAACTCACATTTATTTTTGTCTTTTGACTGATTTTTTACTGTAGGACATGAGTTTTGGCGCCTTGCATCTACATACAGTTTTGTGTCCAGCACTATATCCTGCATGTTAGCATTATCACCTCACATCATCGCCCAGAGGTCCGTTCCGTCCCGTCCCCCCCCCCCCCCCCCCCCCCCCCCCCCGGCCAACCAACCTCTCTTCCTCAGCTCATTTCATGAAAGGGAGCCGTGTCAATAACTAAGTTTGCTTGATGTCTGTGATCACAGTTTGACCATCACATGCCATAAACTGAGTGCCAAACTAACATTTTCTCCATTCTCCTCTTATTGTTCTAGAATTTTTTTACCTTCACCATGTGGTTGTGCTATAAAATTGTCATGACAAGATATAGGAAACATTTAAGAAACTTTCATGATTTTTGTAAACTGTGTATGGTTATGTTTTGTTTTTTTGCCAAAGGATTTTTTTTAAAAAAGTTTCTTTTTTTTTGTCTAACTTCTGTTCAAAACCAATTTTGAAAAAAAAAGGTACGAAAAATGTTTTTTTTTGTTTCTAGGGTGACTTCATTGTTACTGAATTATTTTAAGAGGCAATTTAAATATAGTATTAACTTAGTTTATTTGAAAGCAATTTCATTGTTACTTTAGTTTCCAGGCCCAGATGCTGTCAGAAAAGAAAGACCTGGCGTGTTGGTGTTGCTATGTCCATCAGAATCGCAATAGTTGAGATAGATCTGTAAATTGTCATCTCCTACCGTTTAATTTTTGAATTGATGGGACTTGGCCATAAATAGAAATGTCCATGACTCTTATGTTGTGTGTTAAATTGTTGTAGAAACTGTTGTCAGTCTGGAACCAAACAAACATTTATTTAAAATTTACACAATAAATGTCAAAACATGATGAAATTGAATATATTGAGTTTTGTTTGTTTGTTAAAGTGGTAGTTGGAATAAATGAAAGGTAATTCAGACCTACATTTTTATGAAAGTTAATCTTCAAATCCTCTCTTTTATAAAAAATTGAGTCTAGTACCCTCTACCCTATTCATTTTATACTAATTTTTATAAATGGTTGCTAGTACTCATAGAGAAGAATTTTTGATACTTATATAAGATGTACTTCAAACTAAGCATTTATAAAATTCTTCCCTGTTCTAGTTAGTAAGTGTCTGAGACCTTTCAATGGGAGTTGTAAACCTAAGGCACATTCCAAGCAGGTTGTCTTTTTCTTCCACAGTCTTGTACAGAACATTGCTATGAATGACTGTTTAATCACTTTTACATAAAGTTAGATAATTAAGAGTATGATTACTATCACTGAATTTAAACAATAATTCCATATGGTTTCCAAATTGTGCCTAAGGAGGATGATGGTAGTAGTAATGTGTGGTTTTGGTGTAGCAGCGTTCTCTGAATGTGGATTTGGCCTTCAGTCTAATTGACAGTGTGGTTTTGGCCATCAGTCTATTAGAACGTGTGGTTTTGGCCATCAGTCTAAATGACAGTGTGGGTGTGGCCATCAGTCTAATTGACAGTGTGGTTTTGGCCATCAGTCTAATTGACAGTGTGGGTGTGGCCATCAGTCTAATTGACTGTGGTTTTGGCCATCAGTCTAATTGACATTGTGATTTTGGCCATCAGTCTAATTGACATTGTGGTTTTGGCCATCAGTCTAATTGACATTGTGGGTTTGGCCTTTAGTCTTGTTGACAGTGTGGGTTTGGTCATTAGTCTAATTGACAGTGTGGGTTTGGCTACCAGTCTTATTGACATTTGGGGTTTGGCCATTAGTCTTGTTGATAGTGTGGGTTTGGTCATCAGTCTAATTGACAGTGTGGGTTTGGCTACCAGTCTAATTGAGCAATAAAGTTTAATAAAATACAAATCTTTGCCAAAAATCTCTGAATTTGTGCCTAAAATTCTCTGTTTTCCTCTGAACACCAATGAACTCAACTGCTGAAAGTAAAAATCTAAATGATATACTTTCTCATTTCCATTATTATTTTACCCATAGGTTCAATGAAAAAAAAAAGTTTGATAATTAAATACTTTATAATGATGTTAAATTATGTGACAAGTCGTGTGACAAGTTGTGAGGATTAAAATGTAGGAAACAATTTAAAGTGTTCATATTTATACATATAGAACTTCTAGAAGATATGCCCCTAACCCATGTACGCCCCAGTCTGTAAATAAAGGGATAAAAGTAAAAGACATGAATTTGTAGAAAGTGGCCCATTTACAAACAAGCACAAAAACACATTCACAATTTCATTTGATCCAAAATTTATTACTCAAGTGACATATGTATTTCTTTGGAAATGTTTAATAGATTTTTTATATTGAATAAAGAACAAAGACAATTCAAATACATATGTTCAAAATTTATTATGTACACACTGAATTGATATGAAATGCCATTAGTCAGTTGCAAAATTGCAACAAAAAATATTCACATACAAATGCACATTTCTTTACAGCAAAAGGGAATTTAAAAAAAACAACTCATAAATTTAAAAAAAATGGCTCACTTTAACAGTCAATGAGTTTTACTCCAATTTAAGTGTGAATCTATGGGTTATTAGTTCATGACGATATTTAAAAAATGTGTCTTAACAGGTGCTAGGGACACAATATACTCCTTTAATAACATCAGCCATTAGCTGCAGCTATGAATGAGTTGAAAGGTATAAATCAAATGAAAGCGTTGGTTAAAAAGCCAGAGCAGATAGCCCAAGAGAACAAAACCTTTCTTTCAAAATATTGATGTCATTTGAACACAAGTTTAAACTTAAAACAAATTTAATCAGCTTCACTTGATTCTTTCAGGAAACAACAGACCTGTGTTTGGCTAATATCTTATGTGTCACATACATCCCACCTTAAAAAATAAATTCATTTCTCAAAATCATGCAAGTGTAGCCTAAACCTTTTGGAGTGATATTAATTTATTTTGTTAATTTTCTTGTAACACTCTTGCTAAATAAATTATTAACCAAAATCTCTAAAGAAAATAATCACTTTAAACGATTCAATATTTAGATCTTCTTTTTAAAAATTAAATATTTATTTATTTTTTTTTTTAAATTTAAAAAAACCTCTGAAAATTAACAGCATCTTCCAAGAAATAAATAACTGTTATAGCATTTTCCTGATACAGTTATCTCCAAAAGCTGAGCTCTGAGAGAAATATTTTAGGTGTTTTCAAAAATACTAAAAACTGCACCAATTTTGTTTACTAATTAATTATTAAGGCTTAAAAAGGGCGAATGTTCAGAAAATCTGCGAAATTTATTTTCAAGATTTTCTTTAAAATAATATTTCAACCCATCATCTTGATCACTTCTCTTGGTGTCTTCATTTTATCCAGCTCACTTCTCTACACATTGATATAATCCCTCTCTGTCTCTACATTTTATCCAGCTCACTTCTCTACACATTAATATAATCCCTCTTTGTCTCTAGAATTTATCCCGCTCACTTCTCAACACATTGAAATAATCCCTCTCTGTCTCTACATTACTTCTCTCTGATAATCCTTAGTTCATTAACACCTAAACTTTTCTTCCGAATCATGAAATTAAATCGATCCTGAAGACTTGGTTTGCTGTGGCACTGGGTTCCATGGTGGATACTCCCTGACACTGTGTCTGTTTTACTTCCTGTCACTGAGCTGAAGATATTCTCCATGTTCAGCAGTGATCGTAGGCCCAAGAATGCAAAAATCAAAGCTTCTTTGTATTCCACTATTTCATCATCAGTATCAACAACCTTGGATGAGGTCAAATGAACAAAGTTATGATACATATGATATTGATGAGAAAGCATAGAATAAATTATTCCAGAAATATTTCAAGGCATACAGAAATTCGGAAACATCTATGTTTTATTGATAAATAAAAAACATTTGCAACATTGAATCATGTGGTACACACATTTTGGTTTTTAACAACTAAACTTCCTTCTCTAATACAGAGCGCTTCCAGGTTTAAACATAGAGCTACATAGACTTCAATGAGATTTCGTAACACATAACTTTTTGATTTCCAATTAATCATTATTTTTTGTTTTGTATTGACTGCTGAAGAAGGCATCTAGCCTAAATGTTCTTTTAAATGTCCTGTCTTTTTATTTCAAGCCGGAACATATCTTGTTCCACCATTTCCTTGATACCACTAACGCAGAGAAAATCATCCATCAATTTTATAATTAAGCAATAAGTTTGATGAAGCTCGTTAAGCTGCCAGTAATATGTGGCTTATAAGCTTAATCCTCCCAAACTCACAAACAAGTGAATAAATTTGTAAAATATATTCCTTCAACTCTTACTTTGATATTGTGTTTTAAGAGTTTTTCTTTCAACTTCTGCATGAGTGTTGTGTTGAATGCTCCGCCTCCTGTCACTAGAACTGTCCCCTTTGGTTTATTGATGGCCTTGACACAGCAGCTGGCCACATGTTCTGTGATATGTTCAACGTATGTACTAAGGAGGTCAGGAATGGAATGCTCTTCTGTCTGTGTTTAAACAAATTAGAATTTTATGAAAGGATAAGACAACAAAAAATGAATAAACCAATCCATAAATAAAAGATAATATATGTTCTAATAATGACAGATGCAACATGAAGACCAGTATACATTATTCAAACAGTATCAAAGTAAGTTAAATAGTTGAACTGATTGCAACTTATCTTATTCACAATAGAAGATATTTTTACAGTGAAGAAATATGTTCATTTTTATTAAACTGGTAATATAAAAAGATTACTAGGGCAGACTTTTGAAAGACTTATTGAATTAATAAGCTGTGAAAGACAATATATTTTAAACAGTAACTCTTTGACTATATTTACTGGGATAGCCTTCTGCCCACTTAGTTAATTTGAAAGCTACAATATTTGCAAATGTGTTTAAAAAAAATATCTATTCAAAACTTTAAAATATATCTTTAGCTCTTTTTCTCAAATTATAAATAAAATAGTTGACAAGTTCTTGTCATATTTTAAATTATATGTAACCAATAAAAAAAATTTGGCTAAAACAATTTTATCTGAGTGTATTTGATAGATGTTCTAACCAAATCATTTTGAATTACTAACTCTCATTTCTCATTACATTCACAATCTCTCTAATTATATCTATGTTAATTATTCCTGGTTATGCATTTTGCTTGATTTTCCTTCAAAGTCTCAGGCCCTTGATGCATATCCCTGGTCTGCTCTAACTGTAACTATAGCACTTAAAATTCTAGCATTAAAAAGGATAGTTGGATATTTTTAGACCTGAAAGTTTCTTGAACTGTTTAGAAGCAGAACTTTTTCACTCATAACAAACTCAGTCGTGTTGCAGTGTGTAATTTCTTGACAAGACTATGTGGAGCAATTTTTTTCGGGCCTACATGAGCCAGAATGATCAATTCTTTCATCGTGGGCCCTTAATATATAGAAGAAGAAGTATACTAGAGTCTAGCAAATACTTACATTGAGTAGAGGAAACACTTTCTTTGAGACCCATTCAAACCCCAGAGATCGTGGGCCTGTTTGTTTATAGTAGGACAACTCATCCAGTTTTGTTAAAATGTCAGGAATAACCTGACCTGAAGCAGCCAATTGTCCCCCTTTGTCATACTTCAGGCCAGAATCATGAATTGAAGCCAGGTGGTTAAGGACAATGTTACATGGACACACATCAAAGCCCTTGTCACCCTGGAAGAAATTACACTTCAATTAAAATGGTTACACCATAAAATCTAATCATGGATTCAAAAAGTTATCAAAGTCAATAACTTACTGCATAATAAAATCAACATGATCATTATTTCTTCTGGTGATTTAAGTGGGGTCTAATTTATCATGTTTAAGAACTTGTAGAGCCTCAGACAATTCCTAAGAATTGAGAAAGTCTGCAGCCTTGACCAATGGAATAATTGGAATCGATTTCATGACAATATTAAATCTTGATCTAATCTAGAGATAATAAATATTATAAATATTACTGTTAACAGAGCTATATATTCCTACCAACCTTACATCCAACATTTGCAATTCCACCAAGATTGATACACAAATCTGTCTGTTGGAACAAAAACTTTTCACCACAAGGTACAAGTGGTGCACCCTGGCCTCCAAGTGACACATCTTTGGAGCGAAAGTTGCACACAAATGGGCACCTAAAGAAGAACATTTCTGTTGTGAATGCAACTTTCTGTAAAGGGTAACATTTTAAAATATTTTGAAGTTAAAAAAAAAATGTTTTTGTAAAATTATTATATGTAGTATAATGTAGTAGAAGAATTTTTAGGTTTTGGAATTTATAAGTACACTTTCCACCTTAGGTGCGAGAACATGAACTCAATCCAATTAACTATTTACCAACAGATCTTGGGGACAGAACAATCACAAAATAGATGCCTTATATATTCCCCCCTCCTCTCTTCATTTTATAGAGAGAAGTGGTCATAAAATTAAGTATTCCCCAAGGCAAACTATTGAATAGCGACATGTTTAGCCACTAGTAGGTCTGGTATGCTGTCTTATTACGCGTCTGTAAATTATATAAGAGTGTCGGACTGTGATAAAACTTTAAGGTAGCTTAATTAGACACAAACAATTTGTGTATATAAAACAATATAAGTTCAGCTTTATTAATGGTTATGAAGGCATTTGCTGGAAGTCTACATTTGTTTGGCTGACTATATCATAACTTATCTTACTGTTTATGTAAAATAAAATATAATAAAAAGGAAAAAATAATTTAGTGAGCTGAACACTGAAATTATCCCACATATAGTTATATGTGAGATAATTTCAGTGTTCTGTACACCCATAACATGCAAAGCAATAATTGGTGATTGCTTACAACATTGAAATAGTCATTAGTGAGGTCCAATGAAAACACTTCTTTCGAATTGAAATAAATCAAAACAACGTTCGAATATGAACCAAAAAAGTCTCTTTCTATTCCTGTATCAAGGTGCCCCTTTGGTTAATATAATATTCCAGCATTGTCTCCCTCTAGTTAAACTCCAATTTAACCCTTCTCTCTAGTTAACCCACAGTCCCAGCACATGAACATCGTTTTTTACAATACTTTACCTGATATATGTTGATATGATTTCCCCATCTCCCAGTTGAAATGTCAGTCCCTTGTCTGGCTGATGGAACACTGTATGACCATGAGATGAGACAAAGTCGGGATGCAGCGTTTTACTCTCAATAAATTTTTCCAAACACTGGCCCACAAAGTGACTGTAATCTATTTGTAGCTTTACTAGATCCTGATTAAATAAATGCAGTTTAGCAATAATTTAAATGTTTTGGAAATCAATCAAAATCTTTTCATACTGTCACTTAATGATCAAGAGAAAAAAAACAACTAAAAAAAATCATGGGGTGAAAGGAAAGATAGAATATGACAAAGGAAACCTAGGGAACTATTATATGGTAACATTTAAAAAAAAAAATTCTTCTTTAATTAAGTTACTAAATGGTTATCCAATATTCAGAATGATGGAATATGGACCATTACAAAAATCTCAGCAAGTCTTTCAAAAGTTTTGTTTTAATAGTAAAAGTTGTGATTAAAAAGCAGGCTTGATTTTAAATAAAGGCAAACACATGATTAAGCAAATGAAAAACGACATTTCTTTTGTTATAAAGAGGCATTACAAAAATAAATGTATATAATATATACAGGCCTACATAAAAAAAAAAAATTCATGAAGCTAATAAGAATCCAATAAAATTCTATCCAACTTAATTAATTATCTTTCAAATATGGCCTAACAAAATTACAATATCTGTATATACTACTGAGATAGCTTGAGTTAGAACTATATGTTGTTTCGTGGTCAATTTAAATAAATTAATTGCGTTTTAATTTGTAATAATTAAACTAGATCAATAGTCAGACGTTTGATTTGAAATGGAAAACTGGCAAATGGTATAAATAGAAGCCAGGGGCTAACAACAAACGCTCTTAAAAAGTATTTATGAGACAGAAATTGGAAAATTAATAATTAATACTATTCTGATTAAAACTGGTGCAAACTCTGAGCAATATCTTTTTCTATATTTTGAGGGCCCACATACAATGTTACACTCAGTCCATGGGCGCCCACTGGGGGGAGGGGCACTTGAATAGACAAAAAATTTATTAAAGTAAAGAGAAAATAAAGTGAAAGTAACTAAGCTGATGTCCTGTCCGTTCGTTCACCATACAAATACGCTACAGTAAATGAAAACTACATTAAAACATTACTAAAAAAATTTTGCTACCCCCCTAGAAAGTTAATCGATTTTTTCCCCCCCCCCCCCCGAAAGTTTTCTGCGGGGCGCTCATGACTCAGTCCGTACCACCAAGGAAGGAAGTGATGGCGTCCTTTACTGACCCCCCCTTTTTTTTTGGGCCACCCATCGCCACAAATTTGTCATAAAATTTAAGACACAATCCAAATACATCGTTACAAATTCGTGACCCTCCCCACTAGATGGGTGGCGTCATTTATGGATGACCCCTTAAGGATATGTATAGCTCCAGTACGCTATTATGAAATTGGTGACCACTCACAATTCCTGACAGAGTTGTGGCATTTCCCAATCTCTCTTGCATATTTTTGCTGTAGGTCACCGTCACAGCCTGCTCTATTCTGTAACCCCAGATGTCTGCCTCGGAATCACCAGTAAATTCAGCCGAGCAGAGGTCAAGGCCGTCTAACGAGGTCCCCGACATGATACCGATGCCATAGAATGACGTCATTGTGACCAGCCCAGATTTTATTTCTGTCTGATTTAGTGAGATGGCCCTCTCACGTCTCTTTCTTGAAACAACCAAGTGAGATGTGTCAGCACTTCAAACCGGCAAGTGCGATGTTCCCAGCAGTATAACTTGTTGAAAATAAATCTTCAGAGGCTGTAGAAGTATTTAAACACATTAATTAGGAAAAATTCACAGAGAATGCATGAAATATTTTTTTTTTCGCCTTCAAAAACTGTCGTGTAAAATTAAGCCATTCTTCAATTTATATTTATCTACAGCTTCATCGACAGACAGGTTAAATTATAATATTCCTATTGACCAATGTATGTATTTAGCATGCATTTACAGAAGCAAAATGCTGAAAATATGATACATTTGCTTCAAATAAAACCCCTGAATCACATACACACACACACAGACACACAGACACACACACACACACACACACACACACACACACACACACACACACACATATATATATATATATATATATATATATATATATATGTGTGTGTGTAAGCGCTCATACACACACACACACACACACACACACACACACACACACACACACACACACACACACACACACACACACACACACACACATATATATATATATATATATATATATATATATATATGTGTGTGTGTAAGCGCTCATTTACGATACTGAGTTAAATAGGCCTGGTAGACATTTGGGTCAAAAATTTTCTTTTCTGACACTCGTTAGGATCTATACCAAACGAATACATGTAGATGTATAATATCCATTATTTGCACTTTTATAACTTCAAACAGGCACATTAAAAAACTTAGTTAACTTAGCCAGGTAAGCAAAGTTTCTAAGATTGCAGATAATTTTTTAAATTATAGAAATAACACAAAGCTTAAGGGTGAACCTTCTAAATTTAAAATTAAAAAAAAAGTTTTTAGTAATCCCTTTAATGATTTCTTGGAGGTACTCAGAGGTGGCAGAAGTAAAGATGTCATAGGGATTTGCATGTCGGCCATCTTTTACCGATTGATAGAATCACGAACATGAGAAAACAGCATGACTAAACATAAATAGAGAATTGAGAGAATAACAACGAATACATTTTAAGCCTAGGGAGATTATTTCCTGGCGTTAAGCCAGAGTAGTTCATCGCAATGCTACTTTAAAATTAAACTAGCACCAGGCTTGAATTGAACAGAGTCCGAGGAATATGTCCAATGAAGTTTTTTGCATGTTTGACAACTAAAAACTAATAAGAAAAGAAGTAAGAACCCTGCGTACTTTAATTTTCTTCTTTAAAAAGGCCTATTTTTAAAACTACTATTAATTTAACTCCTTCTACACCAGGGGTCTCAAACTCAAATCATCCGGGGGCCGCATGAAGTAGAGTCTGAGTGAGACTGGGCCGCATCAAGTTTTAAAAAAGCGATTACAAAAAAATAATTCAATAAAGTACACCCGTTACAATTTGCTCAACCTTTGATAATAACAAAATAAAACATCAAGGGCTCCCAAGAACTAGGCTTCACTTTCTTCCTCCAACTGCTCGTTGCCAGAGAGCTGGCAGCGCTTCTTCTTACACAAGTGAGGAAACAACTGAGACCCTCAGTATAGCTTAGAGATGCTCATTAGTAAGTTTGTCCTTGAACTTTGACTTGTTAAATTCCATAGCGGGAAAAAAGTTTTTCAAACAGATAGGTACTCCCAAAAAAGGCAAAGGATCCGATTGATCAACCTGGAAATCTCAGTGAAAGTGGAGGACAATGCTCTCATTAACTGACCATGCTTGTCTGTTTCTCCATTCAGTCCCTGAACTTAGAATTGCACTGAAGATCAATCTGCTCCATTGGAAGCGAAAAAAGAGGGGGGGGGGGAGAGGGCGCGCATCTTTCACATTAAAGGAGAAAGGATCAGCAAAAAGGTGAAAAGTGACTCTGTATTTTGAAGTCAAAATAAATGTCATCAAATCCATGGGTACTTTTCATGTTTGGGAAATGGCAGAGGTTTCTCTAAGAACCATAACACAAGTTTTGTGCAGAATGCCCTGACATTGTCATAAGCAAAACTAACAAGTTGCCCCTGCTCTTGTAACTGTTTTTGGGTATATTCAGCCCCTGTGTAAGGTCAACAATAAAATCCAAGTCCATGAGCCATTTGGGATCACTTAGTCCAGGAAGAACCACCCCAACCTTCTCCATGAAGGCTTTGAATGCTAAAATTTGGTCAGACAGTAGGCAGGAGCAGGCAATATTTATGAATTATTGATGTGAAGGAAGATGCTATTGTAGGGAGAATGAATTTTGATTTTTTTTTTCGTAGAAAAGGCCTTTTTTGCCTAACCCTATTTTGAAATGGAACCAAGCTGACATGCTCGGAATTTCCCTCACTCGTTAACAGTAGGGGCAATTTTAATAGGGATTCTTTGATACTGTGTCAGATTGTTACGATTTACACAAATATGGTTGTGCATTATCCACTAACTGACTTTTTAAACTTTTCTCAAACCCGCACTTTGGCCGCCATGTTTGTCTCATAAAATACTATGAAATAAAAACGTTTAGTCTGGTTTAAAAACGGTTTTGACCATTACAATCAACGTCCAAATCTAGACAAGGATAATACAAACCAGAATTAGACTAGTCGCTGAGATTCGACTGAAACCGGCGCGGAGGGTCACATTATATTTATATATGAGAATGGGGAAAACTCGCGGGCCGCATTACACTAAACTTTTGCTGTCATGTATCGGGCCGCAAAATATCGTCTTGCGGGCCGCAAATGGCCAGCGGGCCGCGAGTTTGAGACCCCTGTTCTACACAATAAATGCCATTAAAACAGAGTATGAACATCTAGCCAAAGGGGGCTCTCCATAAATGACGTCACGGGGGCGGCATTTTCAGTCAAGTGTCACAAACTCTATTTACACCACAGCTTCCACACTTTATTTCAACCATCACTTTAGTGTTTGTTTCAGTGGGACCTCTAGTAAGTCATGGAGTCGAGACTTTCCTTTTGCGTGCCGTTCAACTGTAATTTGTAATGCGGACTGATCTATAATGAATGTTAAACACAAAGTAACAGGATCAGCTTTACTCTTTGAGCTACAAAGATTTGACACTTGAACATTATTAGGCTGGCTACACGTAAACATTTTATAAAAGGGAAACAACTCTTTAACTTACATGATGATGAAGTCGAAAGTATAAAAAAATATCAACATTTTTTTTTCTTCTCCCCTAGCTCAGTGGTTCTTAACCTTGTTGGAGGTACTGAACCCCACCAGTTTCACATGCGCATTCACCAAACCCTTCTTAATAGGAAAAATAAAATATGATTTTTTTTTTTCTGAATTTTTTTTTGGACCTCCGCCGAACTCCTGAGACTGACTCACCGAACCCCTGGGGTTCGATCGAACCCAGGTTAAGAACCACTGAACTAGCACATTGATAGGTCACACATTGTTTACCCACAGGAAGTAGTTCTATGCTATAATCAGAACACTTAATTTTATAAATACACATGTGAACACATTACAACGTGAGAAAAGGGTTAGTCGGGGGGGCGGGGGGGGGCGGGGGGCGGTGGTGTAACTTAAGTAATAATGTAAGTTGTCTTTAAAAAAACGTAATTCATGTTTCATTCCATATTTGACATAACTTGCCTTGTCCTTGCGCTTCTACTGACAGCCCCACCCCCTAGATCCGTCAATGTCACTAAGTCTATGTCTAAAACACCGAGGACATGTTCTAAGTCTATGTCTAAAACACTGAAGAAATGTTGAACTTCGTAGCACGCACTTAATGTGATAGAGATAACTCCCAAATGTTAGAAATGAAGCACACAGCCTGTTTCCCTTGCTCTGACAGTGGCAGCTGATTCAATCGGCACGACACTGCGCCGAACGCCAGGCCTTGACTCAAAAACTGCGTAAAACTGCAAGTAAACAAAGCTTATTGGGCCAACGGGGGAGGGGGGGGGGAGGGGGGAGGGGGGAGGAGAGAGGGAGGGAATGTGTCTGTGTGTGGTTGGGGAGGGGGGGGGCTATGGTTACTGGGGTGGGACATGTGTGTGTGTTTGGGACAGTGAGCGTGTGTGTGGGACGGTGTCTTGCGTGTGGGTGTGTGTGTGGGGGGGGATGATGAATTAAAGAGGACAAGGGGGAGAACATTGCATGTGAAAGAAAGGGAGGTAAGAGAGAAACCCAATGTTTTAAGAGTGAGGAGTGGGGGGGATGATGAATTAAAGAGGACAAGGGGGAGAACATTGCATGTGAAAGAAAGGGAGGTAAGAGAGAAACCCAATGTTTTAAGAGTGAGGAGTAAGTTCAGTAAGAGTCAGATGATGCACATTGCAAAGGGAGAGAGAGAGAGAGAGAGAGAGAGAGAGAGAGAGAGAGAGAGAGAGAGAGAGAGAGTGTGTGTGGCGTGGCCTTCTCTTTGTGTGGAAATATCCAGTGAAAGTGTCTATGAACTGTTTCAATGACGTAATGGAGCAGTCCAGCAGATAGAGGTAAGAGAGAAAGACAATGTTTTAAGAGAGAGGAGTAAGTTGAGTAAGAGTGAGAGGAAGCACATAGCAAAGGGAGAGAGAGAGAGAGAGAGAGAGAGAGAGAGAGAGAGTGAGAGAGAGAGAGAGAGAGTGTGTGTGGCGTGGCCTTCTCTTTGTGTGGAAATATCCAGTGAAAGTGTCTATGAACTGTTTCAATGACGTAATGGAGCAGTCCAGCGATGTGGAAAGAAATGCGACCGTGTTCATTCTATTTGGGTTTGTGATCAACCACTCATTTTTGACTGTGTGAGTCACGTGACCATCAACGTTTGAACAATCGATACGTTGCATCGGTATTGATCCCAATTTTCGTAGGCATCTAATCCCCCCCTACCCCCCCCCCCAACCATCCCAACAATAGTTAAATCATCAACTTGACCAGGTCTGTTTAACTTGAAGTCAGGCAAGGGTCTAAGTTTGTTTCTAAACAGAGTAAGAGGGCCTTATACAGACATCATCAACAGGTCTATACAGATATCCTCATCAAACCTATACGGACATGATCGGGTCTATATAGAAATCATCAGACCTATACAGACACCATCAAAAGACATATACAGACATTATCATCAAGTCTATATAGATAACATCACCACGTCTATGTAGATAGCATAATCATGTCTATACAGACATCATCATCAGACCTATACAAACATCATCATCAGGTCTATACAGACAGCATATCCCAATGACTATGCCTGACTACCAGACAATAGTCTCACCAGACTGGCAGGCACAAAGTTCAATGTGTACTTCCCAACAGCACCCCAACCCACCCACCCACCTCTCGACCCACCACCACCAACAACAACAACAACGCCACATAAGATTAGTCTACAAACTTCGGCCCACGCTGTAAAATCGTGGCTTATTTACAAACACAAACCGGCTCTCAACAAACAGTTTAGTTAATAGAGCTAAATAATAAATAGATAAATTACAGTTCAGTGGTCTCCAGACTTTGTTAAACAATCTGTGACTCATTTATGAAAAGACATACCGTATATACTCGCATATAAGCCGAATTTAGAACTATAAAATACAATACTGAAATCAGGGGGGTCGGCTTGTATGCGCATAAAACAAAATGGACACAAGGACAGACACTAAGGCCAATTTCCCCCCAAAAAATTTCTAAATATCTACTTCGTTAATCATTCGTTGGGAACAACTTATGGGCGGAAGTTCAGCTAGTATTATAGCAAACAATGTGGAAAGAGCAGAACATGTTTATGTGTCATTCCAAAAGGTAAACAAACTTGTATGTAACATAAAGGTAAGCATCTGACATCTTTACAGTAACACATTTCTATGTATAAAAAATATGGAGTAAAATTAGACAATTGTATGGTCGGCTTATATGCGGGTTTTTTGCCAAAACTGTCCATTTGAAAGCAGTTTTATATAGGGGTCGGCTTATAATAATATTCCATGTAGGCTTATAATACTTGTATGCGAGTATATACGGTAATTATTCCCACTACAAATACTACAGACATACTATAATACAGACATACTATAATAGAGACATACTATAATACAGACATACTATAATAGAGACATACTATAATACAGACATACTATAATACAGACATACTATAATACAGACATACTATATAATAGACAACACAGAAACAAATGAAGATGAAGCTTGTTCAGCCCTATAAAACCAAGTGAAACAACAAATAAAAACTGGAATCACTCATCACACTAATAAGTTATTGCATTAACTTACGATTTAGCAACCAACCCCTACACCTCATCACCCTCACCTGGACCCCACTCAAGACAACAACATCTCCTACTCCCCCAGAGTTCGGGAACCACTGCTGCACGGAACATCCAAATACCTAGACCCCCCTCAAGAAAACAACATCTCCTACTCCCCCAGAGTTCGGGAACCACTGCTGCACGGAACATCCAAATAACAACTCTTTGCGAATGAGATTAAATCCACGTGTGTGCGAGCGAGACTGTTGACACACTAATCTATGTCTTCTAACGTCTAAGTAGGTCAGGTCAACGGTACTATCAGGTCAAGGTCAGATCAAGGCTGCTTTTGTGTCAGGACAGCGACCTTTAGACCAGGGGGTCCTCAAACTATTTCCCTCGCGGGCCAGACCAAGCCCGCTGGGGGGGGGGTCATCAACCCCGACCCACTTGGCCACCGTACGGGTACCCGACCAGCAGGGACTAATATGGAGCCGGACATTGACCACCTCAGTAGCCAAAAGCAAGTCCCCGTAAATTAAAATACTAATAAAATAAAGTTGATAAAACTTGCCCGAAATTTCTTTTCTATTACTACAAACCAGATATTTGCAATGTGCACAAGAAGTCGTTCATTTTGTTTTTAAACTTAAGTCCGCACCCCCCCCCCCCCCAAAACGTTTTTTAAAATTTGTTGAGGACCCTTGCTTTAGTCTAAAAAAATAATACATTAGAGCAAGAGACAGGGGGGGGGAGTTTCAATCAGCCACCCGCCACCCCCCCTCCCCGGCAAAAAATAAAATAAATTCAAAAAGGTTGATGTAGTCGAAAATGGCTTACGTAGCAGAAGCTGTTTTTGTTTACAACGCTCTCATCCTTGGAATACTGACGTCACAGCTAGGAACGTACAACAGGAGTATTGTCCTTGGCGTAACTGACGCTGGGAATGGGAAAGGAATAGGTGGGGGAATAACCTCCTGGGTACGATGTTTGAAATCTGGACCACTCTGTGGCGGCATCTGACGTACAGAAATGTATCTAATGCGTGACAGTCAGTGGGATTCTAATGTGTGACGGTCAGTGTGAGTCTAATGTGTGACAGTCAGTGTGAGTCTAATGTGTGACATCCTGTGTGAGTCTAACGTGAGACATCCAGTGTGAGTCTAATGTGTGACAGTCAGTGTGATTCTAATGTGTGACAGTCAGTGTGATTCTAACGTCTGATAGTCGATAGAATGTATTTCCCAACTCAAGAAATCATTCACGGCTCAACCGCCCATGGAGGGTCTTCTATAATCTGGTATTCCCTCACAACAACAGCCCATGGAGGGTCTTCTATAATCTGGTATTCCCTCACAACAACAGCCCATGGAGGGTCTTCTATAACCTGGTATTCCCTCACAACAACAGCCCATGGAGGGTCTTCTATAATCTGGTATTCCCTCACAACAACAGCCCATGGAGGGTCTTCTATAATCTGGTATTCCCTCACAACAACAGCCCATGGAGGGTCTTCTATAATCTGGTATTCCCTCACAACAACAGCCCATGGAGGGTCTTCTATAATCTGGTGTTCCCTCACAACAACAGCCCATGGAGGGTCTTCTATAATCTGGTATTCCCTCACAACAACAGACCATGGAGGGTCTTCTATAGAATTGAGAAAAAGACAAATTCTAAAGAAAAAAAATCCAGTTCTGTTTCGTTTCCAAAGAATCAAGGAGAGTCTCGCGTTTATTCACGGACATCTTAAAGTTCTTCCGGACTTTTACGGACATTGTTATTCTATGACACATATTGACGGATTGTACGTAAATGAACGGAAGGTTGGCAACCCTGCTGGGAAGGTAACTCCTGTATACAAGACCTCAACCATCGAAGCCGGAAGTCAGCTCCCATCTCGGTGTTTCGTTTGTATTGTGGTTGACGAAAATAGTTGCTTCAGTGAAACCAAAGGATAACTGCCGGAATCAAACAAGAGTAGAGTATTTATACACAGTGTAAAGAACAATTTGAATGTGCAGTATGATACTGTTCAAAAGTGTCCGACTCCATCTTAAAATCTCAATTTTCGACATCGTAGCTCTTGACTGCGCATGTTCCGCCATTGTTGAGGAATCGTGTTACAGGCCAACATGGCGATAACAATAAAAAACTTGAATAAATATTATCCTCAACCTGATTCGGTCCAGGGCTTCATAAATGCGAAGATTAACTACGTGACAGAAAGCTGTTCACCAAACTACTCTTGAAAGTCAAGGTCGGCCATAGTTTATCCAGAGGTCACCAGTGTGCGATACCCTGTGACTTAATTATTCCCCCCTTATGGCTTCATTTACTCTCGTTACTAAGGCAACTCTTTCAAGCGAACAGTGGTTATGAATCAAAGGGGTGACGTATACCATGGGTCAGGTATTAACCCACAGCACACCACAATGTGTTTAGATGGGTGTCCAGAAACTGAGTCACAGTTTCGCTCATGCGTGCCATTTTCGTCAGATCCCAAGATGTTGTTGTAAGACCATCAGTGGTGACACAACACCAGTGGCGTAGCGTGGTGGGGGCGGGGGGGGACAGATGTCCCCGGGCGCCAGCTAGTTAGGGGCGCCAAAATGTGCTTTGATATTATTTTATTGATGA